CAGGGGCAACACATAAATCTTCAAAGATAATAACAGTACTTCTTTCAGGGGAGAAAGGAAAAATTCGCTCTAAAAGGGTTTTATATCGATGATAGGTAGCTATGAAATCATGCCATAGTCGGTTGTAAATAATTTAACATCGCAGGTACGTACGTACGTGTTATCGTTATATTTTAACACTAGTAAATCACAACAATTATGCAAGGTCAGTTTCAATATTAACACATAGGAATTAGGGCTGTGGGACTGGTTTGCATCATAACGATATATATAAATATTTGGAATAAAAATAATACTTATTTGTATACGTACATGAAAATAAATCATAAATATTTATCGCAATACTTGTGTAGCATAGTCATTTCTAAAATAATTTTTATAAAATTCGCATATCGAGAATGTATTATGAAAAAAGCCAGCAGTACGACTTCAGATGTAGAGCATCGTCTTTCCAAGAGACAGTGGCTTATCTAGAACTTACTATGGGGTCATCGCTACAAGGTCGTGATTTTTATTGCCCGCTTTCCGTGATCGTTCCCTGGTCGCACATATGAATTTAATATAATCATCGTTAACACTCCCTGATCGTTCCCTATCTTATGTAGATAGGGCGGTAATACAAGTCACACAAAATCGGGCATGTGCCTATAATTAATTGCATTTGGCATTACGATAATTTGACACGAAATCACTATATTTAGTCTTGTACTTCAACACCCAGATCGAATAACTATTATAAAGTGATAACGATAAAAAGATTATGCGGGACAGTTTCACACCTATGTACTGTATTACGATTTGGGGTTGTGAATATTCGTGGGACCTGTTTGCCTACAAAAAAAATGAAAATAATAGCATATTATTTTGGGCTATAATCTTCGTGGGATGATAAACCATAAACAAACATGTGTACTAATTTTATTTTGGTCTGAGAGACTTACTAACCTACGCTTGGGTCATTTATAATAAGAATGAAGCCTATAATCTCTCGAATTATTACTTCGGTTCTAAGTATAATCAAACCAATTAATTTAACCCATGTCGGGATAATCAATCTATGGGCCTTCAGGTTATCGATCACAAGTCACGAGATATTCCGTTACGGAATGCCAGTCACTTTCGCATATACAGTACTGTACATCACATAAAAAGGCCGAAATAATGGAAGCTTTATTATCACATTAACTATTAATTGTTGTACTATTGTCATTTTTTATGAACAACAGCACCAATTGCAAATAACAATGATTTTTCTCTTGATATTGATATTAAACTAAACGTTCTGATAAATAATTAAATCAATGGCTCAGAACTCGGTGATCCAGGGCAAGGTGATTCTGGATCTGGTCGTTCATCATTCACTTCGGCACAAGCTTTTTCATTCTTTGCCTTTTTCGGTGTTGAAATGCAACCAGATAACTCGCGCTGATTTATGTCTCGAGGTCTCTTTCGGCGCCCGGCAGTTTTGAACGATTCAATAGTCTGCTCACTTGCTTGTATCACCTTTAATGTTTCTTTAATCACTGTCTAACATTTATGACATTTATCGCATATTGTTTATTGATAAAAATTGCAATAACAAATTCAACTAACCTTTAAGTTCAAAACAGCTGCTAGTATTTTTAGAATAGAAGGAAAATTTTCCGGATTATCTGGCCATCACTTCACCACGTCGAATTCTACATACATAGCCTTGTGGATTGTCGAGATGGACCGTCATTATCATCAACCCTAAAGCTTAGGCATTAGTTGAATTATTGCAGAGGTGTAATTCATATATAAAGAACATACCTGCATGGATGATTCCAACTATCTGCATTTTTGCACACTTTTCCCTATTCCAATCTACTTTTTTCATTAACTTTACCAGCATATCCTTAAGGACTTTAGGTAACTTCAAACCCGCCTCCTTAAGGAACTTGGTTCCGTGATCATCCGTCCAAACACTTCAGCTTCGCCTGCTCCAAACTCATGTTTGTCACCATTAGTGACAGACCTCACGATCCAATCGCCCCTGCGACCCATTTTTCGCTTCTCCTCAGACTTTCTTTTCATATTTTTTCGAGAAGCTGTTGCCAAACTTGTACTCTCGCCTCTTGATGTAAACATTGTCAGATTCATCAAAGTAAACAACATATAATTTTTAAAATTA